AATATATATATATATATATATATATATTCAGGTGTATATACAACAAAGAAGTAAGCAGATTCAATGTTTTAATGAATTGTGCGTTTAGGTTTATTTATTATTATAAGAACGCACTTGTCCATTAGATGCAGACAGACAAGGTGTATAGACACCTGGAAAGCAGCACAGCCCGTTGCATCAAGAAGCTTCCCTTGCATGTATGTATGCATGCATATGCATGCATATGCATGCATGCAAGGGAAGCCCCATGATTGCATTTATGGGGCTAAATGCATTAATCTGTTGCATCTTTTTGTTTTATCTTCTTCATTTACCATTGAAGAAGGTAAGAAACAGATAATATACTCCTCTCTGTGTTGTGCAGGAGATATGCTGCTGCTGCTGCTGTTGCTGCTGCAGCAGAGCTACTGCAGCAGAGTTGCTGCAGCAAGCCATCATCTCTGCACTTCGTGCAGCTTATTGCTGCAACGAGACGATTATTATATTTTATTTATTTATTTATATTTATATAATTATATTCAATTGTATTAATAAAGTATATAAAAGGAGGAATAATATATATTATCTGTTATATTAATACTTTTATTATGACGTTGCTCTCTCCCCTAAAGAATAATAAGAAACGTCTAGTAGGTGGCTCTCTCTTGCCTATGACTTTCTTTTTTTATTCTTTCCTTTTATTAATTCCTTTATATAATTAACACCAACTTAATTAATATGAATCCTTATCTACCTCGATACTTAATAAGACCTTATTCTTCATGACCGCTCCCTTGCCAGCTACCTGCCTATACACCCCGTGCTAAATGGGGTGTATGCGCAGCACCGGATAGAAGCATACATAATAAACCATTTCTCTTCCTGCTTATTAATGTATATATATATATATATATATATATAACTTTTCCTCCTTTCTTTATCTACATAATAACCATAAACATTAATATTATCTTGCCGCAACAAGAGAGAAGACGTTTAGAAGATTGCGTTGCCTGCAGCAAACAACAACAACAGCAGCAGCAGCAGCAGCATTATTATTCCCTCCTTCTTTCCCTAATAATTTTTTCTTAATTACCATTATAACAATAACATCATAAAACATAAAAAAACAGATAAAAAAAAAAGAAGAAAACATAAAAAAAAAAGACTCCTTCCTTCCTCATCATCATAATCATCATATATACACCTAAATATTATATATATAATATAAATATATAAAACAATAAAATAAATAATAATAAATAATGATTATAAATAAATAAATAAATAAATAAATAAAATATATAAATAAATAATATATATATTTCTTACCTTGTTCTTTTTCCTTGGCCAACATCTCATAGTATTGATAGATAATAGTGACTGCTAATAGTATACCTGTGCCGCTACCTATTGCCCCTAAGAAATCAGCTATTATAGTTAATGCACCAATACACATACCACCAAAGGCAGCAGCTGTTGGTATATATCTATTCAATACCTATACATAACACCAAACAAATACACACACAAATATACATTTTTATACATATATATATATATATATATATATTATTTATTTTATATATTATATACATACATACATACTTACGTGCATGTATGTATACATATATATATACATACACATATACATTTGCATATACATGTATTTATATATACATGCATTTATATATACATATATACATATATACATATATACATATACACATATATACATATATACATATATATACATATATACATATATACATATACATAATACATATACATAGACATAACAATATATACATACATACATACATACATAGATATATACCCATTAGGAGGGAATTAGATGTATCTGTATGCCTATCTGCACGAGCTTATAAATAATAAAGAATAAATAAATAAATAAATAAATAAATAAATAAATAAATGAATAAATAAATAGATTACCTGTACAAGGGAACTATCCCTGTATCCCTTCATGACCATTTGTTGATCCCTTAATTGTTTAGCTACATCTCTGCTGCTGCTGCCTGATACATCTATCCATGTCTTGGAGAAAAGAGCACAAGAGACGAGAACAAAAGTAATATAAATAAAACTATGAATAGGATCATCAAGTATAGAAGAAAAAGAGCCAGGAGGGGATATATAATATGCTATACCCCCTACAGGTATTGAATGTCCTCCTCCTACATCTATTTCTTGCCATTGTCCTAATATATTAACTAATACATTATTTTTATATCTTTTATATAATAATTGAGAAACAAAATATAAATTAGATACTAATGCTGTCTGTAATATAATAGGTATATTACTTGTATAGAATAATTTAATAGGATAATTTCCTTGTTGTCCTCTTACTCGTTGATATTTAACAGCTAAATCTACACGAAATCCTTGAAAATATATTACTATTAAGAATACTAATATTGTTGCTAATAAAGAAGTTATATTAGGGGCATTAGATCTATAAAATGCTTCCTTTAATGCCACCATATTTGTACTTTTTGTGAATAAACAATGAAATAATGCTACTAATGCACCCTCAAATTCTGTTCCTTTTCCTGTCTTTATTGTTGTTGGACTAAATGCCTATATATACACATTATACACAAACAAACATAACAATAAATATTAACAGAAACAGAAGGGGGGAAAGCAACAGAGACGGGTGGGGGTGGGGGGGGGGGGAAA